GCTCCGTGCTGCTATCAAAGCCAGGACTGTTTCGTCTTATAGGGAGATCAGAAGCTCATATAGCTTTAAAGAACAAACTGTATCCAGAGAAATCTGTGATGAAGCAGGGCATCATGGGACGACAACTGCACCTATTTTTTATTACGTATGTCACCTGTCAGCCATATAATGAAGTTTTATTTTGAGCTTCTGATTGCAAAGGGACGTGAACCTCAGCTACCCGAGAGCCCAATGATGTCTTCATTGTATTTTTGTATGTTTTTATTTTTGATGAACAGATAGGGCAAACGAGAGACACATGTCCCATTTTGGTTAAAAATACTTGTCTATATGAAGTGCATATTCACTCTGAAAAATAAGCAGTCCATGACAGGCTCCAGATTTTTCTTTTCCATTTCCAGCATTAGTGCAATGTCCGAATGCAACATGACTGATGTTGTAAAGCAGCCAGATATCAATGTCAATTGTGAATAAAATCCAACGATATATATCATTGTGTCTGACATAAAATAAATGCGATGGCTCACAGTACGCCATGGCTTTCTTTACCTGAGATCTCACTGCTGTCATATCATACAGTATGACAAGGAACAATTGTAAGGACTTAAAAAAAAAAAAATAGCACAAAGAGCATTGGGCTTTATTGGAGTCATTCTCGGGATGTGATGCTGTTTGTGTGCAGTGTCTTTACCCATGACTTACTACTTACTATATTTAGTGTGCAGTGCTTTTGAATAAAACATTAAGTTTTATGTATCATTATATTGCCAATATATTTAAATAATTTACACTTTTGTTTAAAAATGTGGGTTCGGTAATATATTTTCATGTTTTTTAAAGAATTCTCTTCTGCTCAACAAGGTTGCATTTATTTAATCGAAATTAGAGTAAGAACAGTAATATTGTGAAATATTATTATAATTTAAAATAACTGTTTTCTATGTGAATATATTGCAAAATGTAACTTATTGCTGTGATCAAAACTGAATTGTCTGCATCATTACTCCAGTCTTCATTGTCACATGATCCTTCAGAAATCATTCTAATATAGAAGCATTTCTGATTATTATAAATGTTGAAAACAGTTGAGCTGCTTCATATTTTTGTGGAAATTTTTTTATTTTTTACAGAATAATTTGATGAATAGAAAGTAAAAAAACAGCATTTAAAAAAATATATATAAATATTGTGTAACCTTATAAATGTCTTTAATGTAATTTCAATGTAAATACATTTGAAGGAAAAAAAACTTCCACCTAACCTATAGTTTTTTGTTTTGTTTTTTTGATAAAATGCAGATTATTTCTTTGTGTCTTGTGTCATCCCTGCACTTTCTGTTCAGTTATATTATTCTGTGATGTTTTCCCTTTAAAATAAATAAATAATAATTATTATATATTAAATACAAGAAGCTGAAATTCGCTTGTAACGATTATTCTGCTTATGATATCTGCAACTCATTGCGTCTAATGAGCTCTATATGTTGTTTGCTGTATGATTTCTTTGTGTTTGTTGCTTTTCATTGCATGCATGTTTTTTATGAGTTTGCTTTCCATCAGTAAACAAACAAACAAACAAACAAACAAACACATAAACAAATAAACAAATAAATAAATAAATACATCTCCAGATCAAGACAACGGAATTCAGGCAGTATTGCTTTCCAGCTCTAATATGCAATGTTTATATAAAAGGATGAATGACACTGTGCACCTTCTATATTGTTATTATTGTTAAAGCTGTTAAATAATATGTTATTATTTAAAAGCTGCTTGTGATGGGCTTTGGTTCATCGTGTGACTTTCTCATCACCACCTGCACTTGGTGGTTATCAGTGTATTACAAAGTTACAAAACAGATTTCAGTACTTCAATAGGTTGGTATATTAACATTATATCAGTTAATGAAATTAGGGTATTTAACTGTAAATTTAAGTTAAAACCGTAAAACCTAAAACGTTGCTACCGTATTTTTTACAGTTCAATTCCGGCAACAACAGCTGCCGTTTTTTTACCGTAAATGTTACGGATATTTTATGGATTTATTTTTTTTTACAGTGTATTAGAAAGCTTTCTAAATGTAATTACTACAATAATTGAATTAAAAAGATCTATTTTTGCAATTATTACAATTAAGAATTGAATCAGTAAGCTCTCCAATTACAATATTACAACTAAAAATTGAATTAGAAAACTATCTCCTTCTAATTATTACAAGAATTGAATTAAAAAGCTCACTCATTGTAATTATTACTAGAAAAAATTGTATTAGAAAGCTCTCTGAATGTAATTATTACAAGTATTATTGCTTTCAAAGAATATTCATCCACTGCGGTGATTTGACTTCACAGAGAGAGTTACAATATCAGGTCCATTTTAAACATACAGTGGCAGAGCATCTTCTCTGATATTTAAGTGCTGTAGATCTCTTCAGCAGTGCTCAGACTACAGGAGAAACTGATAAATATAGCAGAAGCGGCGCTGAGAGGCCATTTTCTACCCCTCTCACTGTTCATTTGTCTGCTGCAAGCCGCTAAATACATACTGAAGTGTCTAGGGCACGTCCCCTCCCGGTCAGAGAGAGGCTAGCTGACAGACGCCATGCATTTCATGCCTCCAGAGAGTGAAGCCTGACGCCATGCTGTCATAATGTGTGTGTTTGAAAAGCCAGAGAGAGCGCGAGTTTATTTAGCTGTATTTTGGGCACAAAGTGTCCTCAGAAGTGAACGAAACCTGCCTTTGAGGATGTCTTCAAAGATTAAAATGATTACTAAAGTAATCATGTTTTTAGATTATTTGTTTTTTCTACTTAGGTATGTTAGGTCATTGTCATAACAATCAATCAATCAATCAATCTTCTAATTACTGTAATATTAAAATATTGTGCGTAATATATAATATTTTTAATGTAATTTTTAAAATGCAAAATACAATTTTAAGTATATAAGTTCAACAAATATAATGCAGATTTTTAGGATGAGATATGTTTGTTAAAGTACATCTTAATAACTGTTATTTTAGTATCATTGACAAACTATTATATATATTTTTTAATATTTTAAATTAGTTTTTATTTTTATATTTTACATTATAATTTTTACTTTTAAAGTTGTAATAAGTGTATTAATAGTAATAATTAATAATTGATTTTCTTTATTTGTCCATAGTTGTTGTTTTTTTCATTCATTTTCATTGCAATTTTAGTTTTCATTATTTTTAGTACATGGAGTTGAAATTAAAAAAAAAAATCTGTAGATTTTATTTCAATTAAAGTTTATTTCATCTCAATTCATTTTATTTATGTAAATATTATTCAAGTATTTTATTTATTTAAAATACTGCTGAATTTACTGACAAACATATATGGTAAATTAAATGACATTAATTTAGAAATCTTTAAAGAGGCAATGCATGTATTTGTTGCCTGCACTAATTAGCATGTAGTGTAGTACAGACACTCAGTTTCACACACTTACACATACTGTGTGCCAGGAATGCACTGAGCGTCAGTCTGCAGGATTCACAGGGAAGGCGTGCTGTCATATCAACACTTTCATTCTGTCTGTATGTGCGTGAGCTTCCAGAGCTGCACTGCCATCCAAACTCAAACGATATTGTTAGCACAGGTCTGTCCGTGTGTGTGTGTGTGTGCGTCAGTCTCTGCCTCTTCCTGAATGCAGGAATCGTTTCCTGACTGCAACGTGACTCGTAAAAACACACGCAGATACAGATACACGTTTATCTAAATGCGGACATATCATAGACTTCTATTGTTTAGCTACATATATATACACATTCATAATAATAATAATAAAAAACATGTTGATGTATAATATGAATTGTTTTCTATAAATAGATGCATTGTTATTTGTGTTGTCCCTTGATTTCTCATTATGCACATTCTTTTTTTAAAACTACACATAATTTCCCTTTAGCATCCCTTGTGAAAAAGAAGCACACTTTAGCATTCTTTTAAAAGCAGTATTTATTTTTGGGGGGAAATAATACACTTTAAAATAATATACTTAATTGCAAACTGAATGTAATGTCTTTGAGCTCTTGATTGCATGTTAATTGCAATTAAATGAAAGTGAACTATAGTTTTACATTTATATTTAATGCAATTGTCTGAACTTCAGAGTGTTTTTGAGCCACTTAAGCACATCCCTATATGTAATTCGATAATTATATTATCTTTGAAATATGATTATAGTGTACTTAATGTATTATACGGTAAGCTAAAATATACTTTATCATTTCTATTAAAACTTGTATGTAAACATTTCTAATTACACATTTGTAATGCTGAAGTTGCAGTTCAGTGTATTTAAAATATATTAACTTTAAATGTAATAATGAATAGTGCAATACAGTTAAAATGCTTTAAGTGCTTTAAATGTTAAAGTGCTGTTAGTCAACACATCAAAATAAGTGTACTACCTTTAAAGCATGACAAAAGATTAAACTTAATGTCTTAAAATTGTGCATTATTCCAAAGTGCACTTTTTAAAAGTATACTTCTAAAATGTAAAATAAATAAATAATTAAAAAAAACACTACAAGTGCACATTCAATACAATTAAGCAAATATATTTTTCACAAGGGATACCACTTTAATACAGACACACAAATGCACACAAAGCACACTCATAAAACATCTGTGAGCATAAATGCACATGGAGATGAGCACTAGTTTGTCAGGTCAGTCGTTCTTAAGTCCGTGTCTGTATTTAAGTGCAGCCCAAGTGCTGTGTCTGCTGCTTGCTGTCGTCCTGACTCAGCAGCTATTGTGAATTTCGTTTAATTTTGTCATGCCTGACTTCCTGCTTCCTCGAGCCCTGTCTGCCAGAAGCTCTTCAGAGGCCTGTCAACTCCAACAAAGACAAAAAGCTCCACGGACAGATGGACGGTGGGCGGATAATAGAGGAGGAAGAGGATGTTTCTCATTCTTTCTTTCTTTCTTTCTTACTTCATTCCTCTCTGTCGTTCTTTTTTGCTTACCTTGATGGAGTTGCTGGAGATCTGTATCTCGTGGAGTTTGCGCATAGTGCCGTCGCGGTCGATGAAGTATGAGGAGGCGAGCTGGTGCAGTGCCTCGACTCCTTGGGTGGCGTTGACCATCTTCCGGTCCAGCTTGTTCTTGGCCATGTACATGGTGAGAGCTTCCTCACCTAATGGCACAGAGCAATATGGTCAGTTAATGCAAGACTTCACTTCCAGTCTTTCAGATGCCAAGAGTTAAAATATCACACCCTCAAACGTCCATACGCTTTAAAAAGAGCGATTCCGTCACCATTTGCTCACTCTCGTGACATCCTGTGACTCACTTTCTTCTCATTCAATTGGAATATGACATCAATACACATTGGTTATTGAGTGAATCGTCATTGACGGCAAACCTGACAGATTTTCTGCAAATAACAGCTTAAGGCGAGACCCTACTTTTTTCATGCACTGGTCAATTTAGAGATTCTAGGCTATTTTGCTTTTGCTTCCATAACTTGACTTCTTTCAGACTAGTGGAAAAAAAACATCCAAATCATTTAAAGTGTTTATTACACTTTACCTGTTTGCATATATTTCAATTATTGTACATTTCTTTAAACGGTTTAACTTGTAATACTAACACAAAATTGTCTTAATGTACTGATTAACTGAGGAAAGATGGTCCAATATCCAATAGTTTAAAATGTAACCCTCTTCGACTGTAGTTTCTCCCCTTAAATTTCTGTCTACTCCTTCGAAAAAAAAAGTATTTGCTTATGTCATATTAACAATTTTCACTCAGAAATTGCTAGTAAATGTCCCTGTTTTTCTTTTGAAGTAGAACAACTGAAATAGTATTTTCTTGTAAAACATACTCCGACAATATTTGTTTTATTCAAATTAAATCATTTTTATGTGTATTGTTATGATGCATTTTGGACATTCTGCAATATATTGTCCTGTCATCATTCGGGTCTGGAATGACTTGAGGATGACTAAATGATTTCCACTATTGCTTTACAGGAAAACAATATTGAGATGCCACAGCAACAGCACATTTCAAGACTTGTTGTCATGCTTTATAAAGCCGTCCCATCGAGGTTGCCAACATTCATATGGGCATCATTCTGAGTGCTGTGGTTCATGCAGCCAACATGTCATTTTATCAACATGTTTCTTCAGCGTGGACTTCCTAGTGTGTAAGAACTGCCAAACACACTGACATGATGGAGACTCAGCGTGCATCGCTGACTCACTTCACACACTGTCACAGAGAAAATTGTGCTTATAGTGTCAAACTGACATGACCTGAGTCTCTCTCTCTCTTGCGCTCTCTTTCAGTCGAACCACTCGATGGCAAGATTTCTTCTTCACTGGAGTCGAGTGGGAAAAGCAGCTATGATTGATTTTTGCAAAGCGCCACTGACCTTTTCCTAAACAACTCATTCACTGGGACACCAGAGGAATATCTGCTCAGACAGTAGTCCTAAAAAACACAGGAATCAAAAACACACACTCGCTCTCTCTCTCTTCCTCTCTGTGCATCAGCTCCTTCTCTCACTCTATCTTAGAATTAAGCACCCCAAAGCTCTACTGTAGCTCTGCTCCAAACATAGACTTTACTTGGACAGGCCATGTAAAGTTTAAAATTACTTTACTGTTTAAACTGACAAGACTTAAAACACGTGAGAATGAAAAACGTTCTCGCGGAAGCAGCACTGGCCTGATCGTTAAGATAGTTTTGGGGGGCTAAGGTGACAGATAGGGGGGATGAAACCCACCTAAAAAGGGTTTAGAACCGGCCCTGGTATAGCATGCGTAATTATACTGAAACATAAATAACCAGTTTACCTGATTCAATGTGATGGCTGAGCCTGTTTCTGAGATAACAACATGCCAATCCGTGATTGGATTTCCGACACGGCTAATCATAAATCATTTTACACTGTCAATAAGCGTGACCGGGGTTGCCAGGTTTTCACAACAAAACCTGCCTAATTGCTACTCAAAACTAGCCCAAAACTACAAAACACGGCAAGTGTTAATGTAGCCCAATTCCGCGGAAAAAACGCGGACTTGGCAACACTGAGCGTGACTGATACTCGAGCCAACTCTGCTCTAACTGTCGACTAGCAGTGGGAGTCAGATTGCCCCCTAGTGGATGGCTAAAGATTTGTTAACTCATATTCATAAATTCTCAAGGGAACATCTCTGAATTAACTGATGCTCGCGCCCCCCTTGACAGGTGTGCGCCCCACAGGTTGAAAACCCCTGCTCTACAGAGACGCCGTGGATATTTCACAGACAAAGACAGGGCTCGACTGTGTGGGCGCTTCAGATGCTACTAAAATAGATGTGTGCAAACTATGAAATGTATTTAGGAGCACGTGTGCGAATAAAGCAAAATCCCTTCAGGTGAGTTTTCTTAAATTTCATGTCATAAAAAGTCTTCAATGCATGAAAATGTAAAACAAACATCTTAATGATCTTTATAAGAGGTCTTACATTTTGGGGATGGATAAACATAAACCGTGATACAGCCTATTGATTATTAAACTTCAAAAGGCTATGATTTCATTAAAAAACATGGCAGCACTTCAGACTGTTTCAAAGTGATTCTCAATCAATGAATAGCGCACCTTTATGCCAAGCAATTGATTATGAACTCGAGTTGATGAATTATGACATTGTCTACTTTATGACCTTTTTTATAATATGTTCTAGACCAGGGGTGTCAAATCCAAACTCAGTAAGGGCCATGCTGAAGGTTGTGAATAAAATCAGGGGCCGGACATATATTTAGATGATATGTAGATTATTGATAAAATATAAGTGTATTAGTAACTGTATTAAAAAAAACTCACAATTCATTAAACCACATTTATCAAACTGACAAGGTTTTAATTTTAATTTTGAGTTGTAACACATTTGGAACACATTTCAGTCACAGAATCGTTATCAAAACAAGAAAAACAGTAATTTAAAAACAACAGCTTCAATTTCAGATGGTAGGCTATCTGATATATTGTTATTTGGCTTATTTTGTTAGTTCTGACTTTGAAACGACATCTTTCACTTGAAAGGACTTGAAAGGACACACTTGAAAGGATATGCCAAATAAGCAAAAAAAAAATATATATCTTATCAGACACTCTGTATTAGAAACGATTTTGTCTATTCTATGTTTTGCTGTAGCTGAAGTATTTATAAAGGGAGTATATAAACAAATATTAAGAATAGAATGTGTTTATTTTAGAAAAAATTACTGTGTGTTTTAGTTCTTTGACTTTTAGCAGCCGCAGTTCCATGCTTCCATAATGATCATGTTTCATTTCGAAATGCCTTTGAAGTAGAGACCTATGCCGGACAAATTTTTCAGTCCGCACCCACCCGCTGCCACATACATTTATGTTATCTTGTCCTGCCCCCACCCCCACCCGCAAAACCCTGCATAAATGTACCCCATCTAGATTTTTTTCAGTAGATCCATGAAACATGAAATAGTAAGTTCCATGTCGCTAAGCCACAACATCCCAACGCTCCTGATAAAAGTTTGTTATTAAAGTATAAACATTTACAACTACCGTTATTTTTAACAGAAATGCAAGCATAGGCTGCTGCTGTATCATTGGGAGGCATAACAACGCAGTAGTGGATCCAAGTGCAGGCTTTTATTAGAATCGTGGTCAAAACAGGCAGGGTCAAACATTAGCAAACAGGTATAATCCAGGGTGAGACAAAAAAAAGAGTAATCCACAAAACAGGCGAAGGTCAGGGCAGGCAGCAAACAATAAGAAATCAGAAACCGCCCAGGGTCAAAAACAAGGCAAGGCAGCAAGGGAACAAGGGAAACACAGGAACTAGGCAACGTTACAGGCTAGACAATACTGAGCCCTGAATGAATGAAAAAACAAGCTTTAAATAGGGTGAGACTGATGAGGTTACAAGACACAGGTAAATGCAATCAGTGATGATGAGTCCGGCAAAGGATTAGGGTGAATGTAGTAAGTGAGAGTGGCAAGAGTCAGGGGTGGAGTGCCCTCTAGTGGAGTTCATGGGAACTCCAGCTGGAGATCGTGACAGCTGTGTGCATGGTTTGGCATGGCAGAATGAGAACAAAGAGCGCTCCCTTTATAATCTCTAAAAAGCTGACATCTCAGTTCATCGCGATCTCACAAAGCTCTGTTATAACACAATGAATACATGCACAATGAATACTGTCTACACTTCGTGTATTATAATTTGACGATTCATGATCACACAAATTTCAGCACTGCACAGGAACTCTGGCGTTTTGAGCATTGACTGGATTCTAACTTAAACACTTCTGATTGGCCATTGAGTTCCAGAAATCAACAGCTATGTCTGTGATTGGCTACATTGCTCAACGCTGCAATCACGTGTTATAAATATAAACTCTGCCTATGCTTGCGTCTTGTTAATCGTTTTTATTTCATATTAGTTGTTCTTGTTGGTTTTGTGCAATAGTTAAATAACAATTTATTTGGTTTTAGATAATTTAGGTTTAGATACAGTGGGTACGGAAAGTATTCAGACCCCCTTAAATTTTTCACTCTTTGTTATATTGCAGCCATTTGCTAAAATCATTTAAGTTAATTTTTTTTCCTCATTAATGTACACACAGCACCCCATATTGACAGAAAAACACAGAATTGTTGACATTTTTGCAAATTTATTAAAAAAGAAAAACTGAAAAATGCTCAGTATTTAGTAGAAGCACCCATTTGATCTAATACAGCCATGAGTCTTTTTGGGAAAGATCCAACAAGTTTTTCACACCTGGATTTGATCCCGCACACACATGAGTGTCAACCCGCCTGCACCCGCACTCGCCCATCAAGTCTTGTCCAGTGCCGCACTCTGTTGCGTCGGGTCCCACAGGTCTCGCAATAGTCCCACGGGAGTTCAGTTTTCTACTTGAAAGATTACTCTTTGAAAACCGTGAGTGACTCTTGACATAAAATTAGCGAGTTGATTAAAGCACGACAGCACCACCTGCCTCTCAATGTTGTAATTGTCACAGATTAATATTTAAACACGTAGGGGCCACATTAAATTGATTACCTGACTTTGTTGGCTCGCCTGATTAAAAGTCGTGGCAGGCCGTGTTTGGCCCGCGGGCCTTGTAATTGACACGTGTTTTAGACGGTTGTAAGAATGCATA